CGGTGTGTGTGTGTTCACTGCTGTGTGTGTGCACTTTGGATGGGATAAATGCAGAGCACTAATTCCGAGTATGGATCACCATACTTGGCCACGTCACTTCACTTCACTTCATAACAGACTGGGCAAGTAAACATTTTTTTGTAACTAGTGCTGTTAGGCCTGGGACACACTAGACGATTTTCAAATCTTAAACGATTTTAAAACCATGGGAGACCACAGACATGAAGACAGTTCAACCGATTTTTAGCCTTATAATCCTCTGAACACAGACACACTAGATGATTCGACCAGACCACGAGACCACACACTTGTTGAATGTAGGAACGATTTCACAGTGACACTCGCGAGATCAAACGTGACTAAAGAAGAAAAACAAATAGAGGACAATCAACGTTGTCAGCTGGCTCTCCTGGCGCGTGTTGTTTCACAGTGAAAAACAACGTATAAAAAAGAATATAGGTGATGTTCTCTGCTTTCATGGCATGTTTGTGGCTGCCAAGTTTCAGCTATAGAAGCACGCAACATCCGGTAGGTGACGCTTGCTCGCCGATTTTAAAACCATGAGACCACAGACATGAAGACAGTTTCAACTGATTTTCAGCCTTACAATCCTCTGAACGCACACACTAGATGATCCAACCAGACCACGAGACCACACACTTGTTGATTGTAGGAATGATTTCACAGTGACACGAGATCTCACGGAGACTCGCGAGATCAAACGTGACTAGAGAAGAAAAACAAATAGAGGACAATCAACATTGTCAGCTGGCTCTCCTGGCGCGCATTGTTTCACAGTGAAAAACAAAGTATAAAAAAAGAATATGGGTGACATGTTTGGGGGCAAGTTTGTGGCTGCCAAGCTTCAGCTATAGAAGCACGCAACATCCAGTAGGTAACGCTTGCTCGCTCTCATTGGCTATCACGGTCACGGGTATCACGTCAGAGGCAGCCCGATCAAGAGTCGTAAATATCAAACATGTTTTATGTTTACGATTTGAGTTCGGGGACGCTCCGTCTCGATCGGGAGCAGATAAATAATCGTAATGACACCACACAGTAGAGGATTTTTTTGGACAAAAAAATCGTTTGCGACAAGCCGCGAATCGGGCCACACCCCCGATTGTTCGGGGATGCAAATCGGCCTTAAAATCCTCTAGTGTGTGGCCAGCTTTAGTCCAGCAGGAGTGCAGGTCTAGTTCGGTCCGAGCGTTTTAATATGCTTTCCTACCTGTCTGTCAACATATGTATTAGCATACCTCTGCGCACCCTGTTCGCGCAGACAGGATACGTCATCAGCGCGTTCACGCACG